TAAGTTACTTTTTAAAAATTTGTTTGATTAAAAATAAATTACTCACGTCTCTATATAATTGTTGTAATAATTCTCTCGCATTCTGTGAAGCATTGTCCGTGTTCAAAACAAATTTTAATCCTGAGGGAGTTTCGAAATAATGTAACGTGTATTTACTGGTTTTGTAATACAAAAATCCTTCCTTCGGATCCAATGGAGATATTTTATTTACAAATGATTTAATGGAGAATAACATTCCATACATGAGTTTAGCTTCCTAAATTTTATATAATTACATGTTTATTTAACATAACTTAAGTTGATAAGAAATAATAATCGGTGTTTATTAGAGTAATACATTTCGAAAGCTCTGACATCACAAACGTTGGCATCAATATGTGTTTATTTACACTCCATGAGATAAGTGTTCATTTACTCATAATTACCTCTTCCTTCGTAATTCCAGATTTATTCAACCTATTCCATTCAGCGTAATACAATAGTGTTCCATTTTTAGAAAATATATATAAATTGTGAATTGTCATATTCTTGCTGACACTGGCTCAATTGTTTATTTACAAGATGTTAACAAATATTGCAGGCATAAACAAGTTAAAAAGTAGACTGTGTATGTAATATATATTTTTGTTACTGTCAATCAAAGTTATTTTACGGAATGTACACATAATATACTGTAATTTTAACATATAACCACGAACTATAAGAATAGACGCAGAGCTCTCACATCCAATCCCATTTGTGACGGGATTGGATGATGCTAATGAATTCCATTGATAATCCATTGGAATCGTCCAATCCCATTCGTGAGATTTCCTTTCCGCCACTTGAAACAGATTCCGAGCAGAATTCCTGACACCATTGGACACACTGGTCTTAAGTAGAAATTCCCAAAACGGTCAGGTATATATGTACCTAAAAAAGCTCTGATTGTGTAAATATATGTATGTATGATGTATGCGTTGGTTGAACCATGTGGATTTCTTGTTGTAAGAGTCGTAAAGAAATAGAAGATTCTTTATTTTGTTGACAGAAACTAAATATAAAAAATGTGTAAGATTCATCAATTACTGTTTATTTTATTTTTTAAATTTAAAAAGTTTTAATCAGAAATCATTTTACTTAGCAGAGGTTAACGATCTAAATTACATTCTCAGTAAAAGTGAAAATATTGGTAAACCGTATAAACCGTCTAAACTTGGTTGGTGTCTCGTTGGAATAACAGGTAAAAAATCAACATCAATTACATTCTTATCCCTTTTTATAACACGCAATAATACTTCTGTTTTATTTATTAGGGGGTATTGCTACAGCCATAAGTGTAGTATGTATTCCTTTTGTGAGTCCTGCATTTCGTAAAATATGTTTGCCTTACGTACCAGCTACCACTCAACAGGTACAGAATGTATTAGTAGCCTTAGAAAAGCGTTCTGGCTCTTTGATTGATCTTGGAAGTGGAGACGGGCGTATAGTAAGTAATTGATTACTAAAACAACTCAGAATAACCAAGAATGAATACTATATTATACTGTCGTATTATCAATTATCAAATATCTTGTATTTCTAATGTAACATTATTTTCTATTTGACTAGGTTTTTGCAGCAGCCAAAGCTGGATTCAAAGCTCATGGTATTGAATTAAATCCTTGGTTGGTATGGTACTCCAGGTTAAAAGCTTTATTCACAGGATTTTCATCCCAAACAAAATTTATTAGGCAAAATCTATGGACATATAATTTAAATAATTATAATAACATTATTCTATTTGGAGTAGGTCAAATGGTAATGTATTTCTTAAATATTATTTTTATAACAATTAAATATAATTAAGAAATGGTATTTTTACAGATGCAAGAAATAGAAGATAAATTTTTGATGGAATTACAGGAAGATTGTACTATAGTTGCTTGCAGATTTCCACTTCCTAATATGTGTGCAATAAAAGTAATAGGAGAAGGAGTTGATACTGTTTGGGTTTATAAAGTTCCAAAAAAGAGTTAAGAAGGTATCAGAGCTTTTAAGCAAAACAGAAAATTTATTATTGTTATAAAGATTATAATTATAAATAAATTATTCTAGGTAACAAGTAAAAGTTATTTTAATTTTGTCGAATATGGTTTATATTAGTAATTTTTAGAATGAAATTAATGAATAACTTTTCGTATATTGCACTGTTAATAATTACACACATAAATACTATAAAATCATTAATATATTAAATTAACATACAATTTGTTTTCTAATCTACATAAAGTATTCTTAATTTGATCACATTTAGCTTTCTTCG